ATTCAGCCTCCCTGGTGAAGCCTACTTGAGGGTAGAAGGGGGGACATTCTGTGTACTGTGTCCGAGTGGTGGAGGACAGAGAAGTGGTGGTTTTCAACACAGGGTTGCCTCTAAATGCCTAACAGCAATAGAAATTTTTGTTTTACTGTTTTTTTGTTTCTATATCCAGTGACATTTAACTTTGGCCATTTGAACTTCTGCATAATAGTTGAAAATCTTTTATTTATTTTTTTAACAATTTATTTATTTTTAATTTTTTTAAACATTTATTTAGTGTGTGTGTGTGTGTGTGTGTGTGTGGCCAGCTCAGCCCACCAGGGGATCAAACCGTGGTCCCTGTGCTTTGCCAAGCTTGTTCCAAGTAGGTGCTTTAGACCACTGAGCCATCTCTCCAGCCCCTGAAAATCTTTTAAAAACTGAAAATGTGGATGGCAAAAAGTGGCTATGCTGGGAACCTACAGCAGCGTCTACCCTTTCGTAGCATACATCATCTCAAGAGAACTGCTTCCTGTTTCAGCAAAACCCTTCATGACTAATTTCAGCTTAAAAAAGGAAAACCTGGGCCGGGGAGACAATTTAGTAGAATAAGTGCTTGCCTGGCAAGCGCAAGGACCTGAGTTCAATCCCCGGTTCCACCAAGGAAAAAAAAAAAAAAGGAAAACCCTATAATGAAAGACAGAAAAGATGGTGGTGAGCAACATGTTCTGTGAAGCCTGGGAGAAACACCATCATGTCTATGAACACTGAAACACTGGAACTACCACAGCGAGGGCAGAAGCCAAAAAGCAGCACCAGGAGGGAGCAACAAGTTATCAGAAGGGCTGCGCCTGTGCTCCAGCGCTTGGGAGGCCGAGGCAGGCTTGCCCAGCAGGGGCTACACAGTGAGCTCAAGACCAGCCTAAACTGCACAGCAAGGTCCTTTTTTATTAAACAAACAAAACCACACACACACACACACACACACACACACACACACACACAAAGTAACATAAACAGTATCACATGACAAACAGCAAAATAACGAGGAAGACCTGGGCTTCTCTGCGGCTCACCCACTGAAAAAAGTGAGGCTTAGACTGTGAAAGACAAGGTGGCGCTAGAACACTGGAGAAAAACCGATCAATTTTGATGATAGAAATAAAATTTGGGACGAAAAATTTTAGTTCTTCTAGAATTCTTAAGTTGTGAAAAACTTTTTCTAAAGCCACTTCTTGAAAAATCAGGGCTGGGGTGATAGCTCAGCACTCTTAAGCGCCTGCTTGGCAAGCGCAAGGACCCGGGTTCGATCCCTGGTTCAGCCTGCCATGCGGGGCGCTGAGATGGGAGGATCATTACAAATCTGAACTGCATAGCAAGTCCCTGTATCCAAAGAGTGAAAAGTAGAATCCCAAAAAAAAAAAAATCTTTTCTCCTTTGCTTATGCTAATTTTCTATGTAGCCCAATGTCTGGCATCGCTCAATCTGAGACGTGTCTGCTCAGCTAGGGCCAGTATCAGCCCTTGGCAGCTGCGTGCTTCCCTCTCCGCCCCTTGGGGCCGCGGAGAGGAGCGCGGCTTGGCACCTCCGAGGCTTCTGCGCTCCGGATCCCCTGCCGCTCTGCACAGCAGGCTGCAAAAGAGCTGGGGAGATAGCTCGGTGGAATAAGTGCTTACCTGGCAAGCGCAAGGTCCTGAGTTCAATCCCTGGTACCACTAAAAAAAAAAAAAAAAAAAAAAAAGCAAACAAGCTAGCTGTGCAGTAACAAGACGAACAAAGAGAATAGGGCAACATATAAACTGGTACACCGCCCGTGAGAAGAGAGCTCTTGCCATCTGCAACACGGATGGACCCGGGATATTTATGTAAAATGTAGTAAGCCAAGCACAAGACAAGCCCTGCGTGGATGCGTTCATATGTAGGATAGTAAAACAACAACAAAACCCCAAACAACTGCCTTCATAGTACAATGGTGGTTTGCCGCAGAGGCGTGGGCGTGTCTAACCTGATACATGGGTACTAAGACAAGTCGGTTGGAGCAAGTTCTGGTGTTTTTGCATAGTACGGTAACAGTGTACGATTACTTTTTCTAAAACTAGAACAAAGGTTTTTGAGTTTTCACTGCAAATGGTGGAGATGTTTCACTCGATATAAACACAAGCATATCACATGTACCTCACTGATGTGTATTTAATGTGTCAGTTAAAATAAGGAGAAAAACGTAAAAAATTTAATGTAACAAATGATATGATGACATAAAAAGCAGGGTTCACACTATATTTCATACACACACACACACACACACGCGCGTGGAGGCTTTCAGACACTTCTCAAGTGGGCAATAGTGTAAGGAAGGGCTTACAAATAGTGTATTCCAGGGGCTGGGGAGATGGCTCAGTAGAATAAGCGCTTGCCTGGCAAGTACCAGGGCCTGAGTTCAATCCACAGTACCGGAAAAAGAAAAAAAAAAAAAAAAAAAGGTGTATTCTAGAATCAGGTTTTTTGGTATTGTTTTAGGGAAGGGTCTACAGGGTGTTCAGAATCTCACTACTAGATCGAGCAATCCGCCTGTTCACAGCCAGCACGGCAGGCCCGGGGATCGAACCTCTGGCCCCTGCGCCTGCTTGCAGGTGCTTTAATCTGCTGAGCTATTAGGCCGGCCCTTTAAAGGTTGAGTTTTACACAGGAAGAACAGCACTTGAAGGCAGGCCATGGTACAGCTTTCTGCTGGTGACATTGCTGGCTTAAACCGTTTTGGGTTAGTTTGCTTTATGTGGCACGTGGACACTAATGGAGGTACTCAAGTACCTGGTTTTGGCTGTGGAATACCCTGGGCACAGAGCGCGCGGCTGCTGGCAGGGTGCTTGCGCCGCCCGCGGCAGCGCTGGACCTCCGCTCCTCGCTCACAGAAGCTGACGCGCCGCTGTCTCTGCTATCTGCTCTGTAGGCTCTGCACGGTAGTTTCCAGCCAGTACGTGGGTGATGATTTGCTTGGTAAAGCATCTAAGTTTTTAAAAGGCTATTCCCCCTTGTTTTCTCAGGCACGACTGCACAAGGCAGGGTTGGCTGCTGCAAAGCACACTTCTGAATTAACAGCCACCCTGGAGACAACCACACAGCCGGGGGAAGACAGTCTATAGCCACACAGTGTGCTCAGAGATGTCACTGCACCCCAGGGGTGTAGGGGACTGGACAGGTGGGGGGCAAGATTTAAAAATGCACCGTAGCTCTCCACCAAGGAACAGAAGGCGGTCTCCGGAGGGGCGAGCGCAAGTGGAGTCCGCAGGCTGCGTCCCCCTCCACGTGGCAAGGACGGAGGCCTCCATCCCTCGAGGCAGCACATTGCATGCTTGAAATGCAAGAACCGGCCACCGAGGGCCCCAAGTTTCCTCGATTAAGTGTAAACGGGGCTGGGGAGACAGCTCGGCGGTCTAACTGCCTGCCTGACAAGCGCAAGGTCTCCAGTTAGACCTCCGGTACCACATGCTGTGCTGGCCACCAAAACCGGGCGTGGGGGTGCACCCCATTAATCTCAGCACTGGGAGGCTGAGACAGGAGGATCACTGAGTCCCAGCTGTATAGCGAGACCCTGTACCAAATAAAAAGATTTTTTAAAAAAATTAAAAGAAAAAGTGTGAATAGCACAATGCCTGACATTTTTTTAAAAGAGTAAAGCATTTCTAAAAACACTAAAATGATACAAATTTCAGAACAAGGTAGGACATTAACAATGGTTGTTATATTCCACCCTGTTATCTTCAAAGTGGTTGTTCCGACGTCCTTCAGGGCCTCTACCGTGATGCTAGCTCAGGTTTGGGGGGTAGCAGTTTAGGTGCTGCAAGAGAGATGGGGCAGGGCAAGTTCAGGGCATGCTGGCAGTGACTGAAAGGGCACAAGAGTGACTGGGAGGAGCTGAAATCCAAGCCCAGGTAGCCCCAAGAGTGCAGCTGGGGAACCTCGCTGGGGATCAACTACTGGGGCTCAGCTCAGAGGACTGCGGACTGCAGGAGTCCCGCGGGAAGCCGTCAGAGCCGTGGACGGCAGTTGGGAGATGGACTGGTCCGCACGTGATGGAATTAGCCAAAGTTCTGGGTACCAAATCCTCAACGTGGGAAACAGAATCTGGAGTTTCGGTCCAGGTTAATTGGAATGGCGTGCAAATGAGGTGGATTAACAAGGTAGTGCCATGTTACAGCAGGTGGGCGGGGCGGGAGAGGTCAGAAGAGACCTGTCCCTAACCACGGTGGGCAACGCCACTCCACCAGCTGCGCCCAAGCAGAGCCCTACATAGCGCTCCCCAAGTGCCGACTTAAGGCAGCAGCACTCCCCAGATTTCACTCCTGAATTATTTTCGCACTCACACTTTGTACTAGGTTCACCTACATGATTTGGACTTCTTTAAATGTTAAACGTTGCACTAAAAATACCCTTATAAATGCTGTCCAGAAGCCTCCTAACAGCAGGTGCCACGCACCCGCAGCACCTGCTGTGCCGTCACAGCGGCTCGTACAAATCCTGCCCCGCTCGGCTGCCACCGCCGGCCACCACACGCCCAGCACCAGCGGCGCACGTGGGTCTCGTCACCAGGCAGCAGGCCGCTTCCTCTGCACGCCCTGCGACCTCCCGCACTCCTCTGGCCGCATCACCAGACCCTCGCAGCAGCCTCTTACCGTCTGCAGTACTCTCCTTGCCTGTTCCAGTGGGCCGGTGCTCAAGGGTTTGCGCGCATCCACAGGTGGACTGCACAGGCCAAAAGAATACTTACAGGTTCAGGAAAAACACTAGCCTAAGTGAGTCGCAATTCCTCGGGATTCAAACTCAAATTTTAGAAGTTCAAGTCCGCACTGCTGTTGGCTGCCAGGTCCTGCCGCCCCGTGGCCACCGCCACAGGCCCGCTGCGAGCGCCCCCCAGGGCGGGCATCTGGCACCACCGGCTGGCGGCAGGGCGCACATGAGGGTCTTAATCAGGGAGATGAACGAGACGCAACCCTCATTTCCTGAGTAATGCAGACATCCAACGTGTGAAAAGTTTACTGAAAACTTTTATTGTAATCAAAACGTCACATAACAGGGTTGTAATGAGTTCAGCAAATCATTCTGCTGATATTTTAGAACTTATACCAGCTTTTGCCAGGCAATTAAAAAAATTCAAATGTGAAAATTTCACAGTAAACTCCACCCCAACTAATTAATGGTGGTTAAAAATAATAGGCCCTAGCAAAACCTCTCAGGTTACATGGTCACAGCTCACAATTCTGTACAAAAGTCCGTGTTATAAAGCTCTGATGTAAAAATCAAATAATCAAGCAGCAATATTTTAAGTGCAGCACAGGGTCTCCGTGTCATTATTTACAAGGCTTCAATCTCTTTACATTATAACAAAATTTAATACAGATGACTTAGGAATTAAGTCAATTAAAAAAATCCGCCCTTCTACACGGGGACAGATTTCGCTTTTTGGTCATCCTTCTCCTTCTCCTTCTCCTTGCTCTTCTTGGACTTTTTCTTCTTGTGTTTGTGTTTTTGGCTTTTCTCCAACTCCGCCTCGGCGCCCGCGTGCTTCTTGTGCTTCTTATGCTTCTTGTGCTTCTTGTGCTTCTTGTCCTTCTTCTTCTTCTTCTTCTTCTTGCTGTCCTGGCTTCCCGCCGAGCTGGCGCTGCTGCTGTGGCTGCGTGTCTGGCTGCCCGAGGGGCTGCGGCTCCTGCTCGGGCTGGCGCTGGGGCTGCTCTGGCTCTGGCTCTGGCTGGCGCCCGCCTGCTGCCCCGCCGCGCCCGCCGCCAGGCCCTCCTTCGCTTTCTCCGCCACCTGGTCTTTCGGGTCCTTCGCAGTGTTTCCAGAAGTGTCGTCCTCCTTAGCAGACACGTTGCTCTCACTGTCACTCTCGTTGTAGTCCGGCTCGAAGGCGGCTTCGTCGGTTTCTCGAGTTAAGTCGGAGGACAGCCTGGAGGACTGGCTGGGTGGGGGCTTCGGCTTCGGGGCGCTCCGGTCCGCCGGTGCCAGCAGCGCGGCCGCCTGCTCCTTCTCCATGTGCGGGGCTGGCGGGCTGAGGATGCTGGGCACCGGCACCTTCGCGGCGCCCCGCGCCTCGGTCACAGGCTTCTCACGATCCTTGCCCGAACTTTTATCTGCAGATTTTGGCTCTTCAGTCGAACGCTTAGTATCATAAGGGGACTTATGATCATGAGGTTTTTTGTCTCTTGAGGGACTAGAACTTTTTTTGGAATCTGCGGTGCCCTTCTTAGGCAAGTCTCTCTCCTCCTTTGGCTTGTTCTTCTGCGCAGCAGAATCTTTATTCCGAGAAGGAGAGTCTTTCCTTCTTGTTACTTCACTCCTCTCATCTCTCCGCTTAGAGCCTGAATGCTCTCTGTTCTCATAGTCCAGTTTTTTGTCTCTGCTGGGAGTGAAGTCTTTGCTGGAGGAACCCCGAGTGGAATCATGCTTCTCTGAAGTTCGAGTCTCTTTAGAGGACTGAGACCCACTTTTAAAATTTCCTTGTTCATTTACGCGCTCCAGACTACTGTCCTTCTCCGGCTGGGCGCTACCCTTCCGCTTCTCAGTATTTTCCTTTTCCAAGCCCGCGTGCTCTCGGTCTTTGCTTTTGCCCTTCTCACTAGACGCGGTGCTCTTTGAACCCTTCGCCTCATGCGGCACAGCTTCGTGGCTCAGCTCCTTGGCAAGTTTCACCTTCTCTGACGGCTCACTTGCTTTCTCAGTGTACTTAGTTGCGCTTGAGGGTTTAGTGGCGACATTTTTTATGACACTAGAAGGCTTCCCTGCACTTGGTACAGGCTGTGTGGCCTTGGCATCCTCTTCCTCAGACTCAAAGTCATCTTTATCCCATTTGGACTGCGGAACCTGGATCATAATAATAACATCTTCAGCAGGGGCCGTATTGTCATTGTTATATTCTTCCATAGTCTTAATTACAGTTCGCTTTGTATCTGGTTTTTCTTCAGATTTTCGCACAGGACTGCCTCCAGTTGAGCTCGTACTAAAAAGGAAAAAAAGGCTTTTTAATTAATGAAGAATTACTAATTATAAAACAATACAGAAATGCTAACTTCAACATGATACATTTTAACTTTTAAAGGCCAAATTATTCTTTTCTAATAAAAATAATGTGAACAAATGTGTCTCAACACCCTAATCATCTTATAACGGTCTTTAAAACCCACGAAAATGTTAATCAGGCCAATCCCCACAAGCAAGCAGCACATTCTTAACGCGGAAAACACAGCACAGGTCAAACTCAAAGAGCTCACTCCCCGCGGGTGCCCGCGCCCCTTCCGTGTCGGTTACCTGGTGTAGTCCACGAGAGCCGAGCTGGACCCTTCCGTCCCGGGCACTTTGCGCTTGGCCTTCCCCTTCCCCTTCTCCTGTTTAACCTTGCTAGAGGTGGACTCCAACTTTTCAGGGAGCTCTTTTGTACTAGACACATTTTCTGTCCCCCCAATTTTTTTTCCAGTCTCTCGGTTAAGCTTAATTTTTTTGGCTGGCGCAGATGAGGATGGAATTTTGTCCTTTTCTGGGGACCGATCCATCTTCTCAACATCGGATTCCATTTTGCGCTTTGGTGATGGCTTCATTATTTCAGTTACTTCTAGTTTAGATATTTTCATTGCAGCTGACTCAAAATCTTTATCTACACCTTTTTCTTCAGTTTTTCTTTTTCTCTTCTCTCCCTTACTATCAAGTGGCTTGTTTTTCTCACTGGGCTTTTTGGCCTTTTCTTCCTTATTAGCTAGCTTTTCTAACTTGACATCTTTGGAGTGGTCCTTCTTTACCTTTTCCTCCTTGATTGGCTTTGTTTCTGGGTGCTCTTTCGCCGATTTAGAATGGGCTTTCCTGAGGGTTCCAACCATCTTTTCATCCTTCTGGGAGGAAGAGGATCTAGCAGGGTCAGGCTTTGGAGTCTCCTCTTTGGCCTTTTTAAGTGGCGGTTCAGGCCGAGGAGATTTTTCCCGCTCCCCATCCAGTTTTTCCTGGGGTCCTTTAGCAGGTTTGACACCACTTTCTTTTTTGGACACAGCGTAACCATCGTTCTTCCGCTTGGTCTTGTCACCTTTAGCTTTTGGTTTATCTTTCTCCCTCTTGTCTTTTTCAGACACTGATTTGAAAGTGATGGAGTCTGCATCCATTGGCTCATCCCTCACCGGGGTGGCATCGTCTCTGCCTGGAAGAACAAACAGCGAGTCTGGCTTATTTTCCTCAACACCTGGAGGCTCTCTTGATTTCCTAGCAGTCTCTAACAATTCTGGGTTCAGGAAACCTTCACTCTCTTCGCCTTTTCTTCTTTTCCTGTGTTTCTTATGCTTATTTCCTTTACCATCTCCAGGAACATTTTCATTCTCCCTCTCTTTTGATTTTGTACTATCCTTCTGATTGTGACTGTCCCTTGTTGAAAGCTTCTCTGGGTAACTGCCACCTATATTTCGACTTCTATGACTCTGTCCAACATAGTCTTCTCTGCGACCTCTTGTGAAGGGTGAATTTCTGACATTAAGAGGTAAAAGTCTCTCTGGGGAGAAAGCCTCCCTATTTGTGGAGGGTCTAGGCTGTGCTCCAGCAGCATAACCTTTATAGTATTTTTCATACCACTCTCTGTATTTTCTCTCCCATTCTCGATAACGCTCCTTTTCAAATGGATCCCTAAAATCCACACTCCTCCCGTAGTACGCCTTCACGTCATACGGTGGCGGGACTTCTCTGTACCTATTAAAATATTCACGCTCAGCTTCTCCTTGAGGTACACTACGCTTGCTGGGAGACTGTGCCCTAAACGCCTGAGGAGATCTTGATCGGGAATGATAGCGTCTATATGGGGGTGACCGTGACCTAGACCGGTGGTGCCCGTGGGACCTGGACCGGGAGCGGTAACTGCGACTCTTGCCTCCGCCTCTCCGGGGGTACGGGGGTGAGCGCGAGTAGGAGCGAGAATGCGAGCGGCTGAACGAGCGGGAGTAAGAGCGTGAGCGTGTCGAGCCGGATCTTGATTTAGAGTAAGTGTATGAACTTCTTGAGTAGGATGACCCACTATAGGGAGATTTGGACCTAAAACCAAAAATAGAACAATAATTGGTAGTTGAGAAATATATATAAAGTACAGATTCAGATTCTACATTCTTGCTGCTTCATTATTCTTTAGGGCAAGTTTTATCTTGGGTGATTAAAGAGGCACAGTGACCTCCTCTAGCATGGAATACAGCAAAGAAATCAGAGCAACCATTTACCACAAAACAAAAGTGCAGTCTTAACTACAGTGGAGCGCATTCATGTGCCATGAGTTATATGAACTTATTAACAATTAACCAAAATGCCAATTGAATTCAAATTTCACTTCCTATCCAATTATTGAAATAGCAGTCCATTTTTTGTCCTATACTGGCTAACAGAGTAGCTTTAAAAGGAACCACATTTTAAGTGTAAAGCTAAATAAAAAAGAAAGACTTTTAAACTTCCAGGGAATTTTTACAATTCAGTTTTTAATCAATGAAGTACTCTTATGTACACTACCTCATAATCACACAAGTTAATGTTCCAGCGCGAAGCTGTGGCCTCTGCTAAGAGGGTACTTGCAAGTTTCTCTATTTCCTTCCTTCCTTCCTTCCTTTCATAAACATTTCCCAATTATTTTAAACTATAAATGATGCCAAGGAACTAGGGCAATTTAATCCCCGTAATTGCTACTTTTACACAATAGAATTTACAGAGACATTTTTTCAATAAACATATACTGGGAAATAGGCGACATCTCCATTTCTATATACCTAGACCGAATCAAAAATTTCATAAGTACACTTATATCCACAGCTAATCCCTGGATATTCAAAGTCCCATTTGTAGTTCTGTTGTGAAGGCTTACAAAACACTAACCTGGAAAATGAGCGCCTACGCTCCTTTTGAATCTTTTTGTATTCCATCAATTCCTTAGCAAAATCATTTGTAAACTCATCTAGCTTGGACTTTTTCTTTTCCCTAGTAAAATAAAGTTAAAGAGTGAAAGTTAACAAAAACCATTTAAGAAAACTAACAAGACAAATGTAATTAGATCATGAATGAGATGAATGAAATTGTCATTAGTTTTCCATTTTAAAACTACAAAGGACTAGGAATCCCTGAGGAAGTTGTTTATATGGCTTTGGTTTAAATTTTAGGTGAATTTTCTTTTAAGTGGAAACACTGGAAAAATGTTTCCAAAGATACCTATTTAATGTTATGCCAGAAAATGAAAAGGTATATAATAATTGCAAATTAAAATACTTACTCTTCCTTTAGTCGGCGCTGTTCTCGATAGAATTCTTCCCTGGACAAAGGCGGTGCCTGTGTTGTCGGGATGGTGTTTGAATGGGCTGTCTGTACTCCTGATGATACCCAAGGTGTTGACAAGCTGGCAGGGGCTGGAGGAAAACCTGGGGGAGGGACACCGTACCCAGCAGGTGGAGGCTGGCCAGGGGGAAACTGAGGAGAGAACTGTGGAGGAGGGACGCCTGGGGGGAGGGGAAGCGAGTGAGGTGGAGGAGGGTACAGAGGCGGCGGTGGAACAGGCACAAAGACTGGAGTCGCTGGGAGTGACGGGCCTTGAGTCCTCTGTGATCTTTCACTGTGGTGTCGCCCGCGGTTTATACTTCTGGAGAAATAAATTTCAGGATATTGCTTTAAACTCAATTTATCTCAGAAGTAAGCTTACCTTTTCCAGCTATCGTTATTTCCAAACATACAATGGAATGGACCCACTATTCAACTCACACAGAAACATTAATATCACTTATTTGTAAATGCCACTGTACAGAGGGAGGCACAGTGACACATGCCTGTGGTCCCAGCTGCTCAGGAGGCCGAGGAGGGAAGGTCACGAAATGAGGAGTCTGAGACCATCCTGGGCAACAGAGCAAGACTCCATGTTAAAAACAGAAAAGTAACTCTTAGCAAGGGCCACAGAGGCTGAGATGGTAAACACAGAGGACCTTTACTAGCAGCACTACACTGAAGATTCCCTGGCGAAGTTCAGAGTACCACTGCGTTCATCACCCTTTGTCACTGTCTGCTCAAGGAACAGGCGATGGATGCTGCTGCGACGCAGTTCTCCCAACTGCCTTTCAAGACCAAAAGTTTAAGTCAAGAAAAACCATTCTTGTAACCTTCTTCATGAGGAAATGGGCAAGAACCACACAAAATCATTTTAGTATCTGTGACCACCGGTGAAACACCTGTTTTCTCTCGATGTATAAAATAAAACTCAAGTTGCCTAAAGTTTCTGAATTGTGCCTCAGCAAAGAAACTGAGTGAGATTCCATTATACTCAAGTTCTTTAAATGACGGCCAACTGGTATACCAAAGCAGGGGAGAAAGTTTAGACCTTAGGTTTTTCAGAGTTATGAATTAGTAGCTATTTATTACCTTTTTTAAACGTGAGATTTAGTAACGAGGTAGTAGCTAGTAAAGACACTTTGAATACGCCTGTGACGGAATTCTGGCGGCCCCTCCCCCGTGGCAGCCGTGGCCACAAGATGAGACCTGCGCCTTCCTTCTCTGATTAGCACTGCCTATGCCTTTTCAGGGCAAGAGCACCTAGCAATTTCTCACCTTTTCTTTTGGAAAAGAAGTGGTAAGGAAAAGGGAAACAATGTATTTTTTCCATGGCAGCTGAGGTAGTTAACCTTCATCACCAACACTGTGTATGCTCACAAGGAGAAAGTAGTTGAGAAGGAGTATAGAAGATGTAGCTTTAAAAACTATCACTTCAAATATTAAATATAAGGCCGGAGGGGTGGCCTGCACCCATAATCCCAGCACTCAGGAGGCAAAGGCAGGAGCACCGCCACAAAACTGAGGCAAGCCTGAAATTACCCATTCAGGTGAGATCCTGACTCAAAACAAGAAAAAGAAATATAATTTCTGCTTTGTCCGGTTTAGGGACAGCTACTGAGGTCCAGGAGAAGCACAAACACAACGGCCCCCTCTTGCCCCTGCTTTGCTTTCCCTTGCTGTACTTCCGAAGGCTTTCCGAGACTTTCAGCATGCCTACCTGTAGCAGCTTCTCTCCCCTCTTCTAATTTGTTGTGGCGGAGAAACCAGATAGCCGAGCTTGTTGGAACTGTGCATGTGGGGAAAAGCATAACAGAGGTCTGAGCATTTCTGAATTGTTTTTTGTACCGGGGGGATCAAACTCAGGACCCTGCACTCGCCAGGCTGGCGCTTATTCTGCTGAGCTATCTCCCTGGCCCGTCTGAGCACTGCTGCAGGAGCACAGTGTGTGGCCGTGACTGCCTGAACATCGCAGCACCCACCTTCTGCTGAAAACTTTATCTATTGAGTCTGCACACTCCAGGTAAAATCCGAGCAAATACACTTAATACTGATTTGTTTTTCTGCTTAACTGTGTTATAACAATAATGAATCTTCAATATGAAATATTTTGTTAAATTTTAACTAGCACTCTATGAATTTTCTATAGAAAAGGAGCCCTGGCTACAAGGCGCCATGCGGGCACTGTATACAGCAAGGCAGGCCACCAACATGCCGCTTTCGTGCACATGAATGGAGACAAGGCAGGAGAGCGCGGCCCGCTGCGAGGGGGGCGCCCTGAAGCCCAGGCCCACCTCAGCACAACGCCCACGCCTCTGGGCTTCCTGTGCTTCCTTCTAATTTCTTATTTAGCACCAGAAGTTTGGTTTACCTTGCAACCAAAAGAGCTAAATTTTAGAATGAGTCTTTATAAATCAGAAAGCTATTAAATAATCCGGATTTTTAGTGACAAGAAACAGTCCATAGAAATCAGTGTTTTGTATTTCATGGTTAAAAAAAAAAAATCATACTCAATAGATTTAAGAATGTAGGGCTGGGGAGATAGCTCAGTAGTGTAAGTGCTTGCCTGGCAAGCACAAGGTCCTGAGTTCAATTCCCAGTACTGGGGGGAAAAAAACAAGTAGCAAGACTTGAACACAGATTATACTCAAAATGAGGAATTTGTTTGATTCTTTAATATTAGTATGTTTTTTGTTTACACAAATCATATTTTGATAACTCAAACTAAAGGTAGGGAAAAAGTTTAACCTTTTAAGTAACATCACATTTTTTTTTTTTTTTTTCCTTTTTTGGTACCGGGGATCAAACTCAGGACACTGTACTTGCCAGGCAGGTGCTTATGCCACTGAGCTATATCCCCAGCCCCAACACCACATATTTACAAATGAATTTTCTTTTTTTCTTTGGGGCAGCTCAGCCTGCCCTAAGGGCAGGACTGGCACAGCATGTGGTGCTGGGGATTGAACCTTGATCACCTGCGCCTGCCTAAGCTTATCTCAGCAGGCATCTTAGACCACTGAGTCATCTCACCAGCCCAAAAATGAATTTTCAAAATTTGTTTATTAATTCACTAATTGAAGTCCTAGTCAAGATCCCTATTTGTTAAGATATTTAAAAAAGGATTTTGCACATTACTATTTTGGAAAAAAAAACTACAACTGACCCCTAAAACAGTGGATTTGAACTGTGGAGGTCCTTTTATATACATAGAGCTTATTCTTTTTTTTGGAGATATAACAATTTGAAAAAACTTCCAGACAAATGTCATGGCCTGAAAATTTCAAAAACCTAAGAAAATGGAATGCACTAAATACATACAGTGTATGTAGTTAATAGTTTTGTAATCATTTACTACCACAAAATATAAACAAATCTTAGTAAATGCTACAATGTATCGAGACTTATGCCCACAGACTGCACAAGAGAAATGTAAGCAAGCATAAGCACGCTGCATCCACACACTGGCCTCAGACCACAAGCACCTCCTGCCATGCTGCTCAAGTGCTGTGAACCTGCATTTACGACAGCGTGATGCAACGCCAACAGTCGGGGGCAGTCAGTCTGCAGCTCCTGCGTCAGAGGGACGTGGCACCTTCCACAGTTCCGAGGTTTCTTTCACCACAACACAATCCACATGCAAAGCGTAAGTCAATGAACGGTTAGGGGTAGGCCTCTGGGCAGTGGTGTAATATTAGGAAATTTCAGGAGTCAAGCGATGGGCTAGTGACGTACTTCAGTGGCAGAGCTCTTTCTTAGCATGTGTGAAGCTCTAGGCTCAGTCCTTGACAATGTCCAAAGTAGATTCTTCTAGGCCGGTAACCTAGCTCTCAAGTTACTTCAAGAGTCAACTGTAATGTACTTACACTTTAAAAAAGTAACTCCTCATATGAGCTTGGATTTGTGACACTCAACATGGAAATCTGCAGTAACTAATTTGGTCTATAAGATGAGGAGTCACACTGGAAAGCGCCTGCCTAACTGCAGGTGGCACTGCCTCACTCACAGCAGTCGGAGGTCGGATACTTACTGTTCCCAGCCAGGTCGACCACCACCCGGGCGAGCGGCATTTATTCTTACTGGACCTTACAAACAAAACCAGAAACAACCCGTAAATATAAAACTGCGCATTGAATAAAACCAACCATTTCTGAAGGAGTAGAAAGGTGCCAATCACAGTAGTTCTACTCACCAGTCGTGGGGATCAGCTGTCCATGTAACAGTGACTGTCCAAGCAAAGACGGGGCTCCAAGAACAGGTACCTGGTAACCCTTTCAGGAGAACCACAAACAAGTGTCATCAAAAAAGAAAAGGACAGAAGAGAATAGTTGAAATCAAGATTTAAAAAACCAAACCAAACCAAACCCAACTAAAGAAAAGAAAGTTTACAAACCAGTGAATGTACCTTCTCTTCCATAAGAGCAGTAAGTGCAATCGAGGAAGCTCCCTTTGGGTGCTCCGAGGCAAGTGCTGCAGCTGGCAATATTTTAGGATCAGAATCCCTGGAAAATAATGTAATTATAATGCACTGAACAGTCATCAAACACGGGAGACCGAGTAAAAATAACTGTCACTAACTGTCCAGCAGCAAAATGTGTTAAGTCAAAGAAGATGAACATTTCTGAGCGAGGAAAGGACTGAGTCTTTGGTGAGTTCTTTGTGCATAAATACAAAAGTAAAAGAAGAAACTGTCATAAGAACTACTACATATGCCAGGCGTGGCACACATGTAATCCCAGCCCCAGGGAGGCTGAGGCAGGAGGATCACTGAGCTTGAGGCCAGCCTGGGCTACAAAGTGAGTGAGTGCAAAGCCAGTGTGAACTGCGTAGTAAAACTGTGTTCAAAGGAGAAAAGAAACTACTACAAGTAGGTGGGATTGGTGGGTCACTCTGTAAATCCAGCACCCACTGAGTCAGGAGGATGGCTGTGAGTTTGAGAGCAGCCCGAACTGTGTAATGAGACCCTGTCTCAAAAAACTGAAAAAAATTTACAGATAATAGAAAGTTCCACAAATAGCAAAACTTCAAAAGGAGTAAAAAGTCAGAAGTATATGCTAAATAAACCAGGAACAAAATTTTAGTTTTAATTCAACCACTAAACTGAATTGGTGTTCTTGGATAAGCCTGCCATAGGATTCTCTGGGTCTCATTCCCACTATCAACATAAAAAGCTAAGGGGACAACCAGGTTTCTCAAATAGTATGACTCTTAAAGTCAGACTCTTAAAGATTTGGCTCATCTGGAACAGGCTCAATATTTTTAGGTACTGGGGATTGAACTCAGGACTTTGTGCTTGCCAGGCAGGCACTTATGCCACTGAGCTATCTCCCCAGCCCCAGGCCCAAGATGTTTATAAGAGTAGTACTAATACCATTTTAAGAATGGTCTTAGACTACAAGGGCAAACCTTTCTGAAGCAGGATTGAAGTCTACTTTCCTTACTCCTCTATGTAATCATGCTCTGCGATAGCATTATTCCTGATCTCCGCTTGCACCAAGGCATCAACTCCTCTATGCACCAAAATTGTTCTTAGTTGTACTGTAGTCTCTTTCCTAATACCATCACCTTGACCACTGTGAGTGGATTCTGCCTGTTCCATGAATCAACACTGAAAGGCTGGCTGGCAACATGCGTATTATTTAGCTGCTTAATCATCATTTGGCAAAAGATTTTCCATCTCCCTACTTGCCCAGGAAAACTTAATCATCACTTCTTATGAATCATTTCAACTTACTGGACACAGTGACATATGTACTGAAACTAGCATTGACCAATATACAATAAAGAACTGTATTATACACTTTGTTCTCTGGCACTGAGAAACAGACTTACCGGAAAGGCCCATCTGCTTTTTCTGAATGGACAGATATGGAGACAGTTGCGGTTATGTCAGGCACAGGAGCTGGGGCAGAGGATGCATTTCCAGGTACAGAAGGGGCCAAGGAAGACTGACTTGAAGTTAATGATGATAAAGAGGGAGCTGAGTGGGCAGACGACGAAGTCACTGGAATCATCAAGGGATCTTGCTGTCGGGATATTGGCGATCGCATCAGCGGCTGCAGGTTGCGCTGAATGAGTGGTCTTGGAGGTGGTATTGGGGGTGGTGGTGGAGGTAACTGTTTCCGTAGTCTTTTTGTATAGCCCGTTTCATTTTTGAAGTTATTAACAGCCTAACATACCAAACATAAAAATGCAGAAATGAACCAATACAGCTTTCACTCTAGTAAGGGTGAAACCATCAAATCTGTCATTAAAGGGATGCGAAGACAGTTACCTGTCGTAAGAATTTGTTGGCAATTAAAGCATCAGGAGAGACATCATTCTGATGACACGTTGGACACGTATGTTCATCCGACTCCAGGAGTGCTGTTCTTATACCTGCCCGTCAGGAAATTTTCATATTATTTCCAAACACACAGAAGATCATTTCATATACTGCATAGTGCACTCTCTTGTTCCAGCTATTCCTCTACTTTCTCTCTGACCACAGACAGCTACATCAGAAAGTCAAGATCCATTCTAACGAAGCTTAAACAGAAAAACCTCTTCCCCGATAGTTCTGGTTTAGCTAGTAGTTGAGATATAGAGCAGCGGCGGTGAACTTATGGCATGTGTGCTGCACACACCTGGTATTGCTGACAGCTTTGAAAGGTTCACTGGCACAGTGAGAAGAAAACAGAAATGAGAACAGTCTAGAAAGTGGCAACAATTTTCACTTGGCTTACACCTTCTGATTAATCACCATAAAAGGCACTTTAAAAACAAGCATCGACAGCCATCCATGGTGGTGCACACCTATAATCCCAGCACTTGGGAAGCTGAGGCAGGAGGATCGCTGTGAGTTTGAGGCCAGCCGAGACTATACAAGGACAAAAGGAAACAAACCACCCCTCCTCCATCTTTCAGATGAGGAAACTGAATACTAGCAGTGAGCAGGTAGATTAAAGTGTACATTCACTGATTAGATTTCAATCAGCAGCTTAAGTGACCTCTTCTTGACCTTGGTCTTCAAAGACATCTGAAAATAGTGATATCCTGAAACTAAATGCCATACAGAATCGAACACTAAGACTTTCAGATAACACCATTTTCTTGTGGGAAGAAGAAACAAACTTAGGAACGTGGCAGAAAAAAAACTAAGTGCTAATATAACTGAGTTAAAAAAAAAACAACAAAGGGCCAAAACACATGGCAGTGCTGAGTGACATTTATAAGACAGTCTTTTAACTTCTCAGAAATTTTACAACAGTCCAGGAAAGAAACTATAGTGTCATTATATTTCCAGAATGATCTAAGGCCCAAAAGGTTTTAAGATTTTGTATAAAATGTAAAACATATAGAAAACAAAAATGATTAAAAATATGACATACTGACATTGACAAAAGGATGTACAAAGGGCGGTACAGGGCCACAGGATAATTCCTGAGAGTCCTTGGCTGACCTTATCAGATACAAAACTTACATTTCTTGTTATATAGGTCTTGCTATATCTTGGTCTTAACCATCCAGCAGAAAAGTATAAAAATGAGGTATATAAAGTAAAGCCATACTGGGGCCGGGGAGATGGCTCAGTAGAATAAGTGCTTGCCTGGCAAGCGCAAGGGTCTGAGTTCAATCCCCAGTTCCGCAAAAATAAAATAAAATAAAATAAAATAAAGCCATATTAATACGATGAGCTGTAAAAGGCTCAAGTCAATAACTTCTGAGGATAATCCACTAATATTATAGACTGCTAGATAGTGTTAGATTGTTCAGTTCAAATATAAATTCAAACACCTATAGTATTTAGATGCCAATAGAATATTCACCTCTGACAGAGAATAAAAAAAATGATACAAAAGAATGATCATTTTGTATTTATATATATAAAATAGGATAAATTTAGAGCTATTTTTGCTTAATTCAAAGAGAAGAAAGAGGTGTACTAACAGTGTTTGGAAAGAATATCCTGCCTGCTTCTTGTACTATGGATAACCACTAAGAAGATAACAATGTACAGTGTATTGATTATCAAACTGTCCTATTAATCAGCTGTGAAACTGTCTCATTCATATTTATTTCTCAATTAAAAAAATTAAGAAAAAAATATGACCTAGTCACCCGAATGAAAGCATAGGAGGTAGTTAATTCTAATATTGAAAAGGGAAAAAGAGTCAGCTTTAAGAGCCTTTAAGCAAATATAAATTCTCCAAAATACGTCTTCACTGCTTCAGCGGTTCTTACATTCATCGCAGTAACTGTTTCCACAGCAGGGAATGACAACAGCGTCAGTCATGATGTCTTTGCAGATCAGACAGAGCAATTCATCCGGGATAGGATCGTCTTCTTCTGATGAGGACGAAGGCTCCTCTGGCAAGAAGGGTGGTTTTTCTTTTTTCCCAATTGCATATGCTTCTCTGGAAAGGAAGGTTTTAAGTGCTTCATCAGTAAGAAGGCGAAATAGTCACACTGTAAGTCCTACCCTATAAGGGGAACATGAACCTCAGCACGATGCCAAGCATTTTAGACAAGCAAATCTTCCAAACTAAGGGAGCAGTTAATGCATATCCTCTAACTAAGCAAACATACAAAACTCTATAGAAGTATAACAAAAAGAAAGAAATGGGCTGGTGAGACGGCTCGGTGGTCTAAAGCACCTACTTAGAACAAGCTAAGCTAAGCAAAGCACAGGGACCGCGGTTCAATCCCCCAGCACCACATACCAGCCAGCCCCGCCCCCTGGTGGGCTGAGCTGGCCACACACACACTAAATAAATAAATAAATAAATACATATATTAAAAAAAAGAAAGAAAAGATAACAGTAGCTGGAAGGATCCCAGAGTGCTCAACTCTTGAGAACTGAGGGTCAGAGAAGTAAAGTCATACATTCAGTGCCATGAAGCCCTACTAAGATGGCAAGAAACAATATAAATTTAGAGAATAGCCTAATAATTTTCCCCTGTGCTAGCATATTTCTTGAAAAATCAAGTAACAAACACATCCACCCCCACAATCGAACAGTCTCTAAAACTCGTGAATTTATTAGAGTGAGTGCTACAAGATGGGAAATTACAACTGGTATTGACATTATACAATTAAAGGAGGGACAGTTCAAGGGAGATATTTTACTGTCACGCAATTACTGAAAACCATGATCTATCATTACTAAGAAATTAACCTATTTATAATCAATTTAAAAATATGATCTGAAGGATCCAAAGTATGTGTTACAGAAAGATACAGTAACGCCTCATTAGACACTCACGCCTTATTTTTTTCTTTTCTTTTTTTGGTGGAACCAGGGATTGAACTCAGATCCTTACACTTGCCAGGGAAGAACTTATTCTACTGAGCCATCTCACCGGCCACCCTTTCTTTACTTAGAAATGCACTTTGCAAAAATGTTGGGTATTAACTACACTGAAAAACAAACAAAGCTATGTGCAGACTTGTCACTACTGTTTCTACACCCCCAACTCTGCATTAAACAAATCTGTAAAGCACGTAATCCCTGAGAAACCTTTCTACTTCATTTAGGAAAAGACTGTGTTTATCTCAACGCTGAATATATCTCAGCTGTCCGCAGTAGGTACCTTAGGTGTGTTATTTGGGCTGCAGCTGCTCCACAGACATCACCACGACTCCAGAAATAAGTACCAATGTGCTTATGCCCCAGTGTTCCCAATTTGTGGAAGAGGAGTCTCCCACTGCCCAAAAGACAAAAGAAAGAAAAAAAAGAGGAGAACAGAGGATAGAAGAAACAGAAGAGTCTGAGTTGCATATCAGTGGTGTTAGTGGAGAGGGTGCAAGTTTCATTTAAAGTATCTGGTCTCCCATCTCTCCCCAGTATTTGCTGTGTGCTTCACACAAGAGGGCTTTCATATTCTCAGTCAAAAGTGAAGAAGGCAATTCTCTGATGCTAACTTTTCCAACACAAATTTTACTTTTAAAGAACTTACAAGGGCTGGCCAGTTGGCTCAGCGGACTGAAGCGCCTGCTTAGGCAGAGCACAGCGGCCAGGGTTCAATCCCACCGCTGAGATGGTGACTGAGATTGGGTGTGGTGGCACACACCTGTAATCCCAGCGCTTGGGAGGCTGAAAACAGGAGAATTACTACAAGTCTGATCTACGTAGTGAGACCCTGTAAACCCTGTGCTAAAATACATTAAACTTCCGTGACAAAGATGAAGTGGTCTGCTCTCAGAATGACAGCACTATCATCATCAACCTGAGTGCTTAGAAGCTTCTATAAAGGATCTCTGAATTAGAAACAGCAGAACAACAGACTGTTCTAAGATGGACCACGAAAACAGGATGGTGACTGATAAAAAATAGATGGGGGTGAAGCTGAGGAAGCGCGCAGGGCTGGGGCTTGACTGTAAAGCACCGCATACTCACGCACAGACAGTGTTTCCCTCTAGCAGCCCGCAGCGCCTAGTCTCAACATTCCTACCTGCTTGCTGTACTATTGTCAACATTTACAGCAATAAGCTAAGACAAAGTGCGGGCTGCAGTATTTAAAATGTTTCTTTCGTCACTGAGAACACCTATTCTCAAAAGAAAGAATGACTGCTAGACTATGGCATTCTTAAAGTCACTTACATTTTTAAAAGACAAAAAAGAAATGACTATGCAGACACCTATTCCCTAAACTGATCTTTCTCAAGGTACAAACTGAAGTTAACCTCAATTTCCTGTAAGACCTGTCAAAAATTTTTCTGGCAGAATACACAGAAGCAGAGTCTAAAAGAACAGATACTATTAGGTGTTCCTTACAGCTACTAAAGGCAGTCAAAAGGCAATTTAAATATGTTAATTGCCAGGAGCGGATAAAACGGCAAGTTACCTCGTTGAACTGTAACACTACATTTTCGTATGTGCTCCTTTCATTAAAACCTGGCTCATGAAATAAAATCCAAAAACTAAAAATATGCATGAAGGTGTTTTATAAAGCTATAGTTGGTCTGAATTAATGGTTTATAAAATAAACTACTTTATTTTTATTTTTTTCTATAAATTACTTTAGAAGCTTAAGGCTGCATGGTTATTGTCCAAACTTACTCAAGATTCCTCAGTATTTCATTTATGCTTGGAACTTAAATCTGCCTATCTTACTGAACTTTTAAGCATTTGTTAAAATGATTATACCCACTTTGTTCACTTAAGAAATGGAAATACTATATATATATATAAGATAATGTGGAAGCATGTACATGGATGAAGAAGACAGCAGGGAATGACAGAAAAAGAAAAAAAAAAAAAATAGAAGACTACAAGGGAAGTGTCACTCACTGATGACAGAATCCCCAAATCCATTTGAAACTGGCTTTACATGGAGCAGACTGCAGCCTTTCAGTATTAAGGAAACGCAGCAGGTACGAACTAAGGACCTGGAGGCACAACACTCCCACCAGAGCCGAGCAGAGCAGGACCCCAGCCCTGTGCCCGGGATGGACCGCAACCCGCCGGCCTACTTACGCGTCTATCGTTGGGATAGCGTACTTCCCAGTGTTGGTAAGCATTGCACCTTTCATATTGGGGTCTTTTACTTCCATCATAAAGCTTTTGGGAATTCCAGTGCTCTTCTTAATTCTAGGCCCGGATTCAAAGTTCTTATCCTATTTGGAGAAAAAGAAGACAAAAAAAGAAGTAGTCATCTTTAGTTAAGGATCTATTAATACAGGCAGTGTTTACTAACTTATTCACCAGGTTTTACACAACTGATCTCATTCAATGCAACTGTCATGTGAGGTGACTGCTACTAGCCCCATTAACATCGGAAGCCTGGTGAATCTGGCTCCAGAGGCGGGGTTGCCTTGCCATCTTAAGAGACAAATCAGTTCTTACCAAGGAGGGAAAAAGATGGCTAAGCAATAATTCTGAGGGAAATAACTGTGCTGCAGTTTCTAGTCTGGACTTACCCCATTTGTTGGGCAATTCTTAATATAATGGCCAGGTTTACCACAACGGAAACATGTGTAAGATGGAGGTGGCGGTCCTAGAGGTTTCTTCATGTAACTGGAAAAGAAAACCGTGACATGTACACAGATTTCTAAATAATAAAGCTTTCCTGGGGGAGCTCCCCACAAGTTTCTAGTCGTAAAAAATTATTTTTGAACTTACTTGATTGGGTCGTATTCATGGCCAGACTGCGACATCATCGCTTTAATTTTATCTTCTTCGGAAGCATTGGCTTCAGCCAGATTGGCAGTCTGTTTAACAGGTAATTATTTGACACACACATTAGAAACACATTTAAGACCATACAGCCAAAGCCAACAGCACTCATCCTGTAAAGAGCAGTATCTAGACTAAGCTCACACAGCTATTCACATGGACAGCCTGGAGGAGGCGCTGGGACTCCTTAGGCTACTACAGCATCGGGGCGTCTGGAGGCTGAAAAGAAGTCTCCCTGGGGGCACTCAAGCCTTAGACCCTGCTGGTACCTTCTCTTAAGATTTGCAGATTACTGTCCTATATGTCGAAGACTAAGGAGAAACACTTGAAGGTTTTAAAGCTTGAAAATACTTCAAGTGTTAGAGCATTGCGACTATAATTTTATAATTATTACCTGAAGGTAGGGGTCAGGGAGGATCAACAAACATGTTACACAATTAGAAAAGTCAGAAGGCTCTTTAGCTCATGGTGTCAGCTTCAAATTAAATACAAAGAATTTACATTTTAAGCTTTTGTAAGTTTCATTTTCCAGATAAATTTTATGAACTTTAAGGTACCACATACAATAATGTAGGTATAAGCAGGGTCTAAGGGAGTGATTTCTAGTTATTTGAATCTTCAAACATCTAGCACTCACATCAGTCATTCATTGGTTTTATAACTTTACATTCATCCACAAAACAAGCAACCAGTTTTAACATTTTATTGTAATTTTATATACAAAGAATGCTTAACATTAACAGAGCTTAGAACAACAGCAACATTTACAGAAAACTGGATTACAGATGTTTAACAACTAATTTGTTTGAACCCAAACACTGTATTACAAATAGATTTTTAAAAAAGAAAAAAAATCCCCCAAACCTCTACAACTCCCCAACTCTCCCCCGCAAAGAAACAACTGCAGTGACAGATCAAAAGCTCAAATATGGCCCTTACAGTACACAGGAGGAAACCAGCACACTACAGACTGCTGATGTGAATGCTAGGTCAAGCCACTGTGCATCAGGAAACTGTAAAGTCAAATGGGTTTAGTCTACTCTGACTTAGAATCATCTAGTTTAATGGCTTATAGTTTTCCTAGGAAAGGAGCTTAAAAGAAAATTTGTTAGGAGGTCATTTTAGCGGGATTCATCCTAGGGAAAAAGGGCACAGGCTACAAGAAAGCCAAAGACAAGATAGGGACAATATGGAAGGAGACTCCCTCTTTTCATTTATCTTGGCCTAATTTGGTATGGCAGGGAAAATGATTTTTAGAAAAATGGACAACTTCCTTCTTCGTCCTCAAAAGTCAACCTACTTTTTTTCCCCCCAGGCATGATTTGCAAGCTAAATTTTCTTTTTTTCTTTTAAATCCATCACTAGTACTTTCTCAAACAAAAGATATACAACATTGAGCCGAAAATGCAAGCAATCTTTTCATAAAACATGACATATACAATGGTTTCAGGAGGTAACAAGTTGTCCCTCTGTCAAACGTACACACTGGTATATTCCTGTGAACAGTTTTATACACTTACAATTCATGTAGTCTGTGTTCAAACAAATTAAGTTGATTAAATTTTTTTCTAAAGCAGATAGCCTATAGCATAAAAAAATAACTAACATTTAAAAAAATGATCTTCACGGGATTGACTCAAATAGTCAAGAAATAATCAGATTGTCCATGTAAAGGAAATCTTCTGTTTTGGCTGCTTAAAGTCCACATAATTTAGAGCCAAAACCTGGGAATTCCTGCAGAACTGTTTCCAATGTGTAATTTAAATGTATGAGGGGCAAGGATTAAGTATAGCTTCATGGGTTCTTCTGGCTTGCAGACGAGCAATACTCCAACATTATGCTGAGACCCACAACGCACTCGCCTACCTTCTCAGGACAGAAACTACTCTTTACAGGAGAGCAATATATCACCGGGTTTGCAGAATATACCCTCCCCCAACCCATTTAAAAAAAAGGTTTCAAATAGAATGTTAGAAAAAGCCTTATATTTTCAAGAATAGATGCATATATACCTTTGTAAGCTGGGCCAGAGTAATAGATGCAGGAGAGTCATCAATCTGTTCACAAAAAATTAAACACACATTCAAGTTTCACACTGACAACATCTGAAAGTGATCACTTAGCCCCTAATGTCACTTCATGTTCAAAATACTGAGCATTTTCTTAGTTTTCTAAAGACTTATTTTGTTTCAAGGCTGCTAAGTGTGGCTTAACCTATTTCTGTTCTACATCACTTCACGCTAAATAGGTTATTTACTGAAGGGGACTTAATCACAAGAAAAATAAAGTAAAATAAAGGGCAGGGCAAGCCAATGCATGACGCACTCCACTCAGCGCTGTGCCTAGACACCAGAGGCCCTGTCTCTCAGCGTCTCTGAGTGGTGCCGTGCCCAGTACAGGATGCGCGGCAGAGCGAGAGCGCCCAGCCCTCCCTGCGCCACCACACACGGGGCCCAAGCAGCTCCCACACGGCTGCCGCGTTGTTCTCTGATGAACATGTGCTGCTCAGTGGAAGTTCGTTTATTTTCCCATACAAAGAGCTAGCAACAGTTTCCAGCCAAAGAAAGCACAACTTTGTCAGAACAAAGATGTTTAAGGAAAAATTTTAAAAAAGAAAAAGAAATCCGAAGATATCCAGGGTAAGCAAAGCTGTCACACATGATGAATAGATTCTAGAAAGTTAATTAATGAAACCAGGCAAGTATATACGCAAAATTTAAGAGGGCTTTAAAAAATGTAACATTTAAAAATTTTCATTTTCTAAAATGACTTGAGTTATAAGGTATGTGTCTGCACATTACACACAAATACACCTTCAGCAAACACTGCAATCTGGAATACATGACTTCCCTAGAGCTTCCTGTTCATAACAGTGCTGCTTAGTCAACACTGAGCTTCTTGTGCACTGTGGGTCACAGCTGTTCCTCAAAATGGAGAGAATGCAAAAAGACGTCTGGGTCCAAAAAGCCTCTACTGGACATTTTGCTAAGAGAATTAAAAGCGCGACTTAAGAGACCCTAAACAAAATGTAACCACGTTCAATGCGAACTTTTCAACCAATGCCCACCACAGAAGGGATTCAATAAATGTAAGTAAAAACAATGGCTACATTAAGACACATCTGACAAATATTTCATGGTTTTAAATGTCAGCTTGATACATATTACTACTGGGATATTTATCTAGACAAAATATTCTTTGCTTCATGCTTGGGGGGGTGTTGAGCAGTTTCAAAGACACTAACTCCACATTCCTTTTGTAGAGCCACATAACCCACTAGGGTTCTCACTCTTGGAAGTCACTTTTCCTTTGAGAACTATTCTCAAGAAGTAGAAGTGCAATAAAACATACACAAACATTCTATTTTTATCTAGAGTCAAATCCACCCGACTCCAATCTATTTTTAAAAGGAGTACTGTGTACTTCATATTAAGGAGCAGTTAACAGAATTTTAGTGGCAAACACTGAATTGCTGGAACCCAGTCTTCCCTGTACTATGTTTCTATCCAATGAAACAAAAGAGCAACTTTCTAGAGAAGTTCATTACCCAAAATAGGAATACTGGAGATTTTCTGAGAAAGCAAACCACTGTATTTTCCTACCACCATAATTTAAAAAAAAAAAAAAAAAAAAAAAAAAGGTCCCTGTAATTAGGACATGGCCTATGGGGTCTACAGGTCTCACTATGTAGATTGGACTTGCAGAGATCCTGTTTTCAGCCTCTCAAGTGCTGGGATTACAGGCGCACGCCACCACACTCAGTCTCTATTGCTGTCTCAGCACGCCCCACAGCCAGGGCTGGCATGGCGCGTTGGGAATTGAACCTCAGCTGCTGCACTCTGCCTAAGCAGGTGCTTTAGTCCGCTGAGCTATCAGTCCAGTCCTAAAAAACTGTTTTAAAAAAATTTTCCCACTCCTCTAACACTTAAGATAAATTTTCATTTTGTTTTTCATGCTGGGCTTTTTTTTTTTTAAATATGGAACACTTCACAAATTTGTGTGTCATCCTTGTGCAGGGGCCATGGTAATCTTCTCTGCATCATGCCAATTTTAGTATATGTGCTACAAAGCGAGCACTGTGCTTGACTTTCTTGAGCTTTCCTTTTAGCTGTCATTAATCATATTGTATATTTATTGAATTGAAAGTGGTTTCAAATATGCCGTCACATCTCCATTACATTTTCCCCACTAAATGATCACTATGGCACCTAAATGTAACTGTAAACTTGCCAAATTTATCACAAATTTAGAAAGGCATCTAATTTTGTTTTCTACATATTGTAAGGTATTAAGAAAGAAGTAAAAATATGTTGACAGTGGTTTATGAACATTTAGGATTTTACATATACTCAAGTGTCAGCGAGAATACTGACTTCTCGGTAAGATTATCAGGGAAGGTACTAATGTTTTAAAAAAGTCTGTCACACTAAACCATACCTTCACAAAATTGAGGCATATAGTAAAAAATCAGGAAAATGAACCCACCTCCCCACACCTATTGAGAGGGCTGTACTTCTAGAAGCAAGGTCCTGACATCTTATGCCAATTATACCTGACTAGAATTAAAGAAGCCCACAAAACATGACTCTCACGCTTAGCGAGAATAGCCAGCTTTAGCGTCCACGTGGAAGATAATTAAGTAACGCGGCCGTGGAGCACAGAACAGCCAGGCTTGTAAGTGTTGGCTTAAATTACCGAAAACATACAGATATAACTAGAGTAAAAAAACTTAGTTCAGTGCCTATTTTTTTTTTTTTTTTTGTGACTGTGTACACTCCACAGCTTTTAAGGCTCCTAAGATGGACACGAATTAGCTTTGATGAACGTATTCTTTCTCATTCTAAATGTCAGCAAATAAAACAATGGGGATAAGTTATTTAATGTCTTCATTTCAGATAATTCTACCTAAAAATTAAAGGCACTCTACAAACATAAAAAAAAGGAAAAACCTAAATAAGCTTGAAATAAACTGCTTATAAATGTAATACAGACATGCCAGCAAACACACAAGGCTAAAAGAATGTTAACTTTATTTATGAACATGTGATTTGTGTTTATACACATGCTAATAAACAAAAAGGAAATAATTACTTTCAAGAAATAAAACTTCATCTGAATGCGTTTAAATACTATATAAAAAATGTACTTTATACAAAATGTGTTACATTTACTACTACAGTCACCAGGATAGTCAACCTTTTTTGTGCTAGCATTTGGATACATAAAAATCAGCTTTAAATCAATCATCAGCAAAACAGAAACTCAGACAAGTTTTACAGCATTATGCTTTAAAAAAAAAAAAATCCCATATATCCAAAAAGAGGGGGATACCCCCAGACACTAAGGCTGTATTTAGTTCCATGAGAACTAAAGGCCATATACTTTAGAAAACAAGTTCAAAGTTCTATTATCATGTTTAAGATTCAATGATGCAAGGTTAGTGAAATGCCACACAAAGATCACTAATATGCAAAAAGTATAAAATGAAATAGCAAGCAATATACCCTTGAATTCTAAATGATTTCAGACATCTTGCATTGTGTACAGTAGTCTCAAGCCTGAGCAGTAAAATGTTTAGAGAACCATCAATTTTACAGAACCCAATTAGGATAGACCTGTATCCTGAAACATGATTTACCTACAACGCAGGAATGCGCTACCTTTAAGAGCTCAGTCAACACAGTGTCACACTTAAGGTCAATCTGCAGTTATAAAAATCAAATTACCCTGGCTGGAGGGGTATCTCCAATACGCTACAGCTTTCAATGGCCTACAGTGAACGCAGCATTTTATTTTAGTATCTTATAATAAAAAGGGAAGTATTTTACTTTAGGCATAAGAACAGACTAGAAAAGAAGTGCAAGACCATGTATTCAGTTTTGAAAGCAGTATACGCAATGGTATAAAATCATCAACACATCTTGTACCCTTACGGGTTGGGGTAATTTCAGTTTTCATTTTATAGTACAGTTGCAAACAAAGGATGGGAGCTCAAAACTGGCAAATACTGCAAGGCTAGCAAAACCGTATTAGAGGTCTCTGGAAAGCCCTTTTCTATGATGTATTTGAACTTAAGAGAAAAGCATCAAACTTTAATGTAAGCTTTGCATGTTGCTAACACATTTTTGAAAGCCAGCATGAGGCAGGGGAATAAAAAACTAACAAAAACTAAGTGATACAACGTGGAAATGGCAAAATATACACTCCAAACATTTTTTTATTGCAAGAAACAAAAAAGCACACAACAGCCTGTACATACATACAAAATACTAACTATAGACAGACAGATGTAGAACATGTTATCATGTTCATTAGTGTAAAACCTACACGATCTAAAAAGGATCATACATTACTGTACAACACTGCCATACAGGAAGAATGCTACCATACGGAATATCAAACAGTGCTATGGGCACAAACTACCCATTGCTACAGAATGAGTGTGCAAATTATGCCATATTATCCAATTTAACTGAACTGTCATCAAAATACATTTTATTTACAATGTGTGCTACGGTCAGTTGGATAGTAAGTTCTAAAATGATTTACTTCACTGTAATATTATAAAGGTAAAAGCAATGTGCAGAAAAAAGTGTGAGATTGTGTTTTTACATACTGCTTTTGTAGTTCCCATCACTGGTTCAGTTCGACTTCTAAAAAATAAAAGACAAAAACTTACATTAGCTATGTAATAAAACTATGTCTCTCCAATCAGTTTTAGGAACAGTTATCTTTCTGTATAAAGATTTAAATACAGTCCCCTTCTGAAGTAATGGATAAACTAATCTTTACTACTTTTGAATAATTTTTTTTTAACTTTTGAATAATTTAATACACATTTGGAACTAAAAAATTTCCACACGGCACTATGGAGTTCTAAAATAGGTATACCTTGCCACTTACAATAAACATTTTCTGAAAGGTTGTGTGAGGATTTCCTTTATGCTTAGAAACTCTGTGGCTTACTCTGAACAGACTTAAAATTTATTGACTTGTTTTTTAAGATATACACTTTCACATCAGACTTTTTTTTTTTTGTGGAACTGGGGATTGAACTCAGGCCCTTGTGCTTGCCAGGCAAGTGCTTATTCCACTGAGCCATCTCCCCGGCCCCCTCAGACTTTTTTTTAAAAGAAAGATCAATGACATAAACACTTGTGGTTTGGGTCCTTGAGAAAAATTTTATGCCCTAAAAAGCTAACTCTCCTATCTGAAAAGGCTGATAGTTAATTTCAAATGTTTTTAAAAAATGCTCAAAGACTAAGTAAGACTGAAACGAGCAGGAAGATTCAAACTAACATAAAAAATTGAGTATTTAAAAGAATGAATTAAATGGTTATGTAAAGCTGGGCATCTGATGTTTACAAGACTATGAATAAACCCAAAAGGGAACTTACTATGTACAGGAAAGGGGACAGAAGATGCTAAACACAGCTTTAGTTTTAATTTTATGATATTTTGACTATAAATAAACATTAGACAACATCTAAAAGGAATTTTTATTTTTTATTTCTTGTAGTACTGGGGATCGAACTCAGGACTTTCTGCTTGCCAGGCAGGCACTTATGCTGCTGAGTTATGTCCCTGGCCCAATATCAAAAGGGGATTTTTAGGGTTTTGCATGATTTGAAAGCCCTAAGGTAAATAAGTAAAGATTTTCATGAATTCAGACATTTTATGAGGTAAATTCATTACAAATGAAATATGAGGTATTATGAGTTAGCATGCAATTTTAATTGGCAGCTTGTTTTGTCATGTACCTCAGAGAAATCCTGTGTCCAGAATTTCTCAGTATTAAAAAAAAATCCAAAAAGTTTGATATTTTTAAAGAAGTACATAGTAAAGTATAATTTCACACTATGGGCATTAATTCTCAAGCTAAAAGCACACTGTCCCTGCACTCTTGGAAGAAGGACAATCTTAAGTCATACCCAGTTAAGATTTAGAGAAGCCCTATCTCAAAAAGGGCTGGGAATAGCTCAGTGCAAAGCTGAATTCAACCCAAACACTACTACAAAAGACAAAAACAAAACTAAAAGCACTTATAAATTGTAAGTTCCCTTATTAACTACAACAAAATTTTTTTTGTATTTTAAGGAAGGGTCTACAGGGTATTCAGGGTCTCACCAATAGATCAGACTCATAGTGAGCCTCCTGTTTACAGCCTACCAAGAGCTGGGATTACAGGTGCGCACCAATATGCCCAGTCTCAATTGCAGTCTCAGTGCGCCCTGAGGGGCGAGCCCGCAGATCAAATCCCTGGCTCCTGCTTGCAGGTGCTTTAATCCACTGAGCTATTTGGTCAGCCCTCAAAAAATGTTTTAAGTTGCTACAACTGAAAAGGTATTGCACAAAAGGACCTCCAAATGCTAACACATGAAATGTAACTTTACCATAAATTGGTAAGAAAAATCTCAGCATACGTGCCCATGTGATCTAAAGCTCCAAGAAATGAATATTTTATCTCAACTCCATAAACACACTTCATTTTTCATAACTGGTAAATTCCAGAATTTTTCACTGATCTGAAGATGATTTTGCCAAAATTTTGAACAAAGATATCTAACTTCTCAGTGGAATCATTACCCTTACAAAGCCCAAGTTGCTGCATTATTCATATATTTTAGTTTTGCTGTCACTATTAAAATTGCAAGGAAGCAGAAAATGTTAAGAATATAGTTGTAATTATGGTTCTGGTCCCAGGGCTGCTGTGTTCCTACTCCAATAAAGGGCACTCACCCAGCACCACTGATTCTTACAACTCTCTGTAAGCTGGACAACAGCTGTCCCTAGCCATTGATGGGGAACTGGACCCAGGACCTTCACTCCCCCTTACACCTTGCAGATGCCCAATTCTCACATGTAAAAGAGCATATGTTTTCATAAAACTTACTGCAATCCCTACACTTTAAATCATCTCTAGATCACTTATAATACCAACATAATATAACTTTTATAGTTATACTATATTGTACAGAATGACAAGAAAAAAATCTGTGTTCAGTACCAATGCAGTCATTATAGGCTTAATGACAGCGCAGACCAGCAACAATGTAACAACTATTTCCCCCTAAAATAAACTATACTCACACCTGTTTAAAGAAATCTGAGACAGATACATTAGATAACGTATCAAAATATCACAACTGGTATAAAGCCCCTTACTGATAAAGGAGTATATGTCAGCATTATTGAATACTTGGTGCTTCAAAGTATGTAGACCGAGTCCTACAACATACTTGGTGTTTTTTCCCCCGGGGGGGTGGGGAGAGGATATATGAGGTCCTGCTATATTGCCTAGCCTGGCCTCAGATCCACATGTATATTTCTGTGGTAAAGAAGAGTTCATAAAGAGCAAACATTTATCTCAGTAACTGTTCACTTCTAACTATGTAGTCTGAGTCAATTTAACGAGGGGTCAGTTTCAGGAAGAAAAAACAAAAACAACCCACACTCAATAGTTGTGAGGATTGGAAAGATAAAATTGTATCAATAAAATTTTTAAAAATTTAAAAAAGGTCTATTTTGAGAAGTGCATGAGATTTTATAAATACTTACATAACATATGTCTTGCTTGTAGATTTAACACCTCCTATAGGAACTCTTCTAACAATTACAGATGAATTCTTAGGAATTAGAGCATTATCATCAGTATATTCTGGAAATAAAGATACAAATCATCAAAATTCTATTTGGGAATTTGGGTAAACACCCAAGAAGTACAAACTGGCCCACAAAATATAAACTTTTTTTTTTTTTTTTTTTGTGGGACTGGGGATTGAACTCAGGCCCTTGTGCCTGCGAGGCAAGCACTTATTCTACTGAGCTATCTCCCCGGCCCCGTAAAATATAAACTTTTAAGGGGAACAACCTTGAGCCACAGGCTCTGTCTTGTTTGCTCCCTGCACTGGCCCCACTCGTGTAGCAGTGTAGCACATGTACACAGCCAAAGGAGGCTTCTCCTCAGGAGGGGGCTTCTCTTCAGGAGGCCCAAACAGCACTACAGAATTCTGGCACTACCACTTTTGGGGGTAGAATTTCAAATCTCAGAAGGGCTGACCTATCCCATAGTTTATTAAACAATGTGAACTACAGGGGTGGATGGTGGCACAGGTCTGGGATTCCAGCACCCAGAAGGCTGAGGCAGGAGGGCTATGGCAGCTGAAGGCCTCTTGGGTCACCTAGTGAATTCAAGGTCAGCATAGAATATATACTGAGACCCTGTTTCAAAAGGACAAAAACATCACAAAAAACCACAAAAAAGGAAATTTTTGAAAAAAGCTCCAAATTAAAATGAAGACAGAGGCTGGGGAAAGATAGCTTGGCAGTCTAAGCGCCTGCCTGGCAAGTGCAAGGACCCAGGTTTGGCTGCGCTGGCCCAACAAGGAGCCAGCCACTAAAACCAGGCATGGTGGAGCACACCTGGAATCCCAGTGCTGGGGAGGCCGAGGCAGGAGGATCACTAGGAGTCTGAGCTATGTAGTGAGACCCTGCACCAGACACACAAACAAGTGAATGAATGAAGACAGTCTTCTTCCTACGGCCTTAAACATGAGCTGGATATTATGATCCTGCCTTCATGGCACTTGTTCCTGGAAATGACAGACTAAATACTGAACTGTGGGGGAAAAAACTCCACTGTCTAGTAATGAATGGCAGAGCCAACTCTGGATAGAATGCTGATCCAAAGAAAATGGAAGTCATTTTCTCCTAGGAAACTACACTTGTGAGTTAAAAGAGAAGCCAGCAGCTATATAAAAAAGATGAATATTTTAGATAAAGGGTAAAGCATGTGCAAAAAAGAATTGCAGAGCTAAATAATACAAAATACAGGCAAAAAAGTATAGCTCAGTCAGGCATATGCCTATAATCCCCGCACTCAGGAGGCTGAGGTAGGAAGGTCGCTAAGAGTTTGAGGCCAGTTTGAGCTACACAGGAAAAACCTGTCTAAAAAAAAAGAAAAGAGGAAGATCATATACTGACATTCTAAGTGCAACAGGAAAACATGACAAAAATTTATGTTAGAAAATAATTACTCTAGCATGTATATGAAAATGATAAAGGGGGGGGGCAGGGAGATAGCTCAGTAGAAAAAGTACCTGCCTGGCAAACGCAAGGGTCTGAGTTCAATCCCCTGCTGGGGGGAAGGGGGTGGTGTAAGGGGAAAGAGGCTGGAAATACGGTGACTATAGACAGTTGGCAAAAAGAAAGGACTGGGAGAATGTCCTCAGGATAGAGGGCTTTTTTTCTTTTCTGAACTGGGGGATTGAACTCAGGACCTTGTGCTTGCCAGGGAAGCGCTTATTCTACTGAGCCATCTCACCAGCCCCTAAGGATAGAGGGCTTGAACACTGGGAAGATGAAGATAAAGGATAAGGGAGGAACTTCTCATTCCCAGCTTCACTAAATGGCTGGGCAACTCTTCAAGATGCACTGTGAGAATGAACAGGTGCTATTTTTCTACTCCTTGAATTTTCTAGAGTTTACAATACTTTTATTAGAATGAAATTAAAGAAATTGAACCTTATCTATCATAAAAAGATCTGTAAAGGAATAAATGTACAAAACTTTCAAAAAAATGAAACAGCAACAGCAAAAAACCTCAGAGCTCCAAAACTCACTTAAGAGACCCACCCCTCAACCCCACAACTAGACATCAAGGTTCACTTTTAATGTTATTAAAGTGGCTTCATTTACATTACTTAGCACAATCTGGTGACTCTAGACTCTTCTAGTTATCTCGTTTATTACATGTGTAGGCATTTTAGGCTTTCGTGTATATATACAGTGGTTTTAGTCATGCTATTATTATACTCTATTAAAACTCAATCTTTCAGGATAAGGTTCTGTGGACATATTTCAAGTAACTGGCTGTATTTTGCAGGTATCCAACTAGAGTGATGCAACTCCTAGATTTAGACCTGCCAATATGAGACTATCACCATTATCCTGGACAGCTGATGACAAATCCAAATTCCAAGCAAGCTCTGAGTCAGAAAAGCAGAGGTTGGAGGATTTTTAATAAATTTGTTCTAGAACCAAAACAGTATGAAAAATATGACAGGATATTCCTCAAACTGTAACAGCTTAGTATGTTAAGTATAGCATAGTAGTATGCTAAGCAGTACTAAAATGTCAGTTGACCCAGTATCCCTCAAACAGGCATTCTAACTGACCACTTAAGGGTCTGGATCTCAACGCTTTCTATCCCTAAAAGTACTTTATGCTTAAAATAATTCCTTAACACAAGCAGTCCATCATTTCACTTCAAAAGACATGCCAGTGGGCCAAGGATATTTCTCAGTGGGGCAGCGCCTACCTGGCAAGTGCAAGGTACACAGTTTGATTTCAGGTACCGAAAAGGAAAGGGAAGGAAAGGAAAGGAAAGGACAGACAGACAGACAGACAGACATGCCTGTGTAAGTTTTCATCCAAAAATATGAAAGGCACGGCCCAGCACTTGGTAAGCAGAGGTAAGAACACTGTAAATTCAAGGCCAGCCTGGCTTACATCATGAGTGTAAGAACAGCCTGTACTACAAAGTTAGACCTTGTCTCAAACAAACGGCCTCCCTGCTCAAACCAAACAAAGGCCAAAAAACAAACAACAAAACAAACCAAGAGGAATTCGAGAAATAGAGAACCAAAAAGATAATAAAGGCCTTTTTTCTTTTTTTGAGACAGGGTCTTGCAGGGCAGTCCAGGTCGGCCCTGAACTTGCACTGCGTCTCCCAGCTCACCCTCCCGAGGGTCGGGATTATAGGCATGCACCACCATGCCAGGAAGGAAAGGTCTATATTAAAAGTACTTCACATTCAGCTTCTACAATTTGTTTCTTTCGGGGTTGGCATTGATACACACAAGCAAAGCTTTTCATGTATAATAAAATCATTTGGGATCCAGTGTGAAATAAAGCCTAGGAAGAAATAAGCGATACTCTGAAGTCTAAACCACACAACTCAAGCATTTTGGTCTTTTCATACTTGAAGGAATTAAGGGATGTTTTGCAAAAACATGGTACATTAGGTAATTTAAACATCAATTCAAACTAAAATGATCCACTTCATTTTCTCCTCTGCAATCTCTTGTACAGCGAAAGACTTCTTTTGCAACCTTTCATTCACTGATTAGTGCTAAAACCAAGTGGCATTTTTACTCTGTCAGGTAACGCTTTATATTATTTTCCATTAAATTCATTAAGTAACTACTATGTCAATGATCTTTTTCTCCTCTAGTATGAGGACTTCATAAAACACACATTTTGTCTCCCACAGCTTAGCCAACCTAACATTAACATTTCTCAACACAATACATAAAAGTATGTTGCTAGGCAAAGGGTTTCCCTGGATTGCAGGGTCCAGACCATGTATCATGTTTGTATTTCCTAGACCAGAATAACAAAAACTCACAAACTCTTCAATTTTGTGGACAAGGTTCCTTGAAGCACAACCTGCTCTAGTTTAAACGTTGTACTTAACTGCTAGGTGGACAACCTAGCCTCAGATGATTCAACCATGTCATGCTCATGTAAATATGAAGCCTGCATGGTATGTGATAATTTACATTCCCTTAAATCCAAGTTTTATTTACAGTGTCTTTCCTCTCATTCACACTCAATATGGCAAGATGGCCTAAAATTTAAAAAACATCTGTTCCATGAGCTGTGATGACAATACGCAGGACACTTTCCGTGTATTTATAAAAAGCTGCTTCTCAATTGTTCACGGCTAAACAATTTTTTCTTTCCCCAAACAGGAGAATACAGTAATTACAATTGACGCTTGTTTTATAAGAAAGCAAACAATATGCTTTAGCACATTAGCAATAAAGTTTTTCCTTCAAGGGTATTTCTGAGTTCATGCAATGACAGTACTGCTTTTCTTTAGCCTGAAACAATCACACTTAAGTCTACGTTGTAAATAAAAAAACTTGTCCTCTACATGAAAAACCACAGGCTAGAGGTAAGGGATTTCCCAACCAAAAAACGCCTAAACATACAAACATTCCATTCAACACCCTAGGCATCCAAAATTACCTTTAGCACAAACTTAGCACTTCCGGCTAGCTCATCAAATCCCGTCACTACACCTCGGTAGACCGACCACGAATCACAAATCAGCATTACTGTACCCGACCCCACAAAAGAAACCGAAACAGGCTCAGCCAGAAAGATTCCTGGATGCATTTACACCACTACCGCTCAGGTCCCAATAGCACACTTTGGACACGTGAAAGGAGCTCGGGGATTCTCATCAGTGGCTGATCTGTACCCAAAGTAGAAGCCCACCATTTTTCGGTGTTATACAAATCTACTTTACATCATCAGTACGTTTGCATTTTACTGAATTGCTAAATCTTGAGTAATATGCTGAACTAAAAATTCAACTACTAAATTACTGTTATTACTAATTCCATTTACAGACAAGACAAAAGCAATAACCCTTTAAGTTCCAAATACAATTCTGACGCTGACCGTACTCTCAAACAAATAAAGGTAAGGCTCCCTTCCGCACAATTCCGGCAACTTGAAATAAAGAAGGGATGGGCGAGACTTACAACTCGCTGTTCAACTCCATCCAATGGTGCGTTAGTGAAGGAGAAACTGAACTGACTCCCTGCTTCGCGAAGAAACCTTGTTTAGACTCTCCTGACAAAAGCACGTTACAAAACACAAGGGAAGCACCCAGAAGACAGGGTAACAACCACCTCCCTCTCTCGCGCCTGCCCCTCAGTTTAGAAAACCCCGAGAATAATCGGACTTAGCTTTCGGATTAGTCTGACAGATGATCCACATACACAGAAGTCAAATTAACCAAGTAAACGCCAAGGTCGGCTGCCCCGTGGCCCTCAGCTATCAACGAGAGCTGTATCGCAAGTCTTAAAAAAGAATGATGGCGCTGGGTTTCCAATCGGGCCTCTTAGTTCGTAGTATTCGCTCTGGACCGGGCCCCAGACTCTTACCTTCCTTGGTTTGCGCGTTGGTGATCTGCAGGTCGCTGTCTGCAGCTTTCAGCTTCTCTCTCCCCATAATCTGCTTCTTTAAGTCGCAGAGGGAGATGTGGAGCCCATCAAAGGTGACCGTGTCATAGTTGCGTTTGGAGGAAAATTTATAATGCACACAGGACATTGTGCCAAAGGATGCCTAAGGTTCAGCGAGGAGACGTGGACACGCTCAATATATGTATATTTATAAATTTAAGAGCAAAATATGTACACACATAAAACACTCAAAAGACACCGAAGGCCCCTGAGGCCTCAGATTCAACACCCCCCAACCACACGCAGGGGTTCGTGAGAACAGTAATGCCGAGCTACCCCGAGACTCAGGATCGCTCCGGGGGAGGGGAGGAGGAGGAGCGGTACGGGCAAGGGGATCGCGAATCCACCAACGGGCAGCGTCACCCGGCCGGGTGCCCCTCGCTCATGCTAAGGGCCGCAGCAGCCGGGGCGGGCGGTGCAGTCCGTCGCGATCAGTCCACGCGTGAGAGTCCGAGCGACCCCGCGGGGTCAGGGGTCCATGGCGCGGCCGCACCTCCCGGCCGGTCTCTCGCTCGCTCGCTCTCCGTGGACCGGGGGACCCAGGCCCCGGGAGCAGGCCGAGGGAGGGCCTAGGAGTCCACGCGCGGCCTCTCGCCTCCTTCCGCTTCCGGAAGCCCGGCGTCGGCGTCCCCGGCCCAGGCCCAGGCCCAGGCCCCACCACACACCCCGTCGCCGGGTCCCCGCAGGAAGGCGCGGCGGCCGCGGCCCAGGCCAGGCCGCGCGGGCGGCGGCGCGGAGGAGAGGCCGCGCTTCCTTCCTTCCCTCGGGCCGCCGGCTCCGCCTCCCCCCGCGGCCGCCGCCGCGCGGACACAAAGCGCGCCGGGCCTCGACTAGGCCGCGAAGCACTTCCTCACCAGCCGGGCCCGCCGGCGGCCGGGCTCTGGCGGACCCCGGGGACACCGCCGAGGCGCCCGACGTTCCTCTCGCCGATCTTCCGCGCTCCTCTCGCCTCTCGCTCCCGTCGCCTTTCGGCCCGGACCGCGGCGGGAGGCCCGGGAACGGCCCGGCGGCGGCGGGGGGCGAAGGCTTCGCGGGCTCCCTGTCTGTTTGGCCCCCCCTGCCGCTCTCCGGCCCTCACCCCGCGGCGGCGACACCTCCAAGCCAGGCGCTATGGCGGACGCGGCCTGGCTCCAGGCGGGCGCCGCACTCCGGGGTCTCTAGGCAGGGACCGCACGGGCGGCGCACGCGGGGCGGGGCCTGGCGTGCGCGGAGGGCGGGGCCGGGGCGGGGCCTGATGCCACAAAGCGCCGCGGCCGCCCACGTGACCCGCGCTTTGTGACTCAGAGCCCGGAACCCCAGGCGGCGGGGAGAACGGGAGAAACCATCGGCAGAAAAAGGGCGGGGGAGGCCGCGGCGTAGACGGAGCCCGGGGCCGGGGCGGAGAGGCGTTCGCAGCGCAAACCCGCGAGGGCGCTCGGCGAGCTCCCCCGTCCCCGCAGTTCCCGTCAACCCTCCAAAAACCCCAATTTAAGTAATCGTTGCGGTTGCTACGCTGTCCCCTATGGTTGCTGCACAAACACGCTTAAATTTACGCTTCAACAAAGTGGTTGTGCTAAACTTTTCATAAGGGGAAATTCTGGAGCCGCCGCCGCTTAGAACTGATCACCACCACCTTTACTTCCGTGCCGATTTACTGAGCTCTTTCTCATCTGTAGACACAAGACCAATCTCGCATTGCCACGTTCTGGAGCCAGGGTTTTTGGGTAGGAACCCACGTAAAACACCATTAAAAGTAGTACTTGTGGGGGCGTGGGGGCGCACGCCTGTAATCCCAGCACTGGGGAGGCTGAGGCAGGAGGATCGTTGTGAGTTTGAGACAATCCTAGGCTACAAAGTGAGCTTAAGGCCATCCTGAACTGCATAGCTAGACCCTGTCGTTAAAAAAAAAAAAAAAGGACAAAAGTGGTACTTGGTTTATGGGTGGTTGTGGATTACGTGAAATTCATTTCCAGAATTTAAAACCATACCTGGCCTGTGGCTCAATGTGTCTCAATAGAGGTGGCTCAATAAATGTCTATTTAACAACAATAAATATCTCCAGTGTCAACATGACCATTGTCTTAAATTTATAGATGAAGGAACTGAAGCTAACAATCAACCATGTTCTGAATTTGTAAAAGGGAAGGCCTGCTCTATTTTTGGGTTTTGAATGAGATATTTATTTATTTATTTATTTATTTATTTATTTATTTTGGCGGTACTGGGGATTGAACTCATGACCTTGAACTTGCCGGGCAAGCACTTGTTCTACTGCGACTATCTCCCCAGCCCTTGAATGAGATTTTTAATTACCAATGCCCGGAGCTGCTAAGAGTGACAGCGCAGGCTGGGGTGATGGCTCAGTGGACTAAGTGCTTCCCAGGCAAGCGCAAGGGCCTGAGTTCAATGCCCGGTTCTGGAAAAAAAAAAGAGTGACAGCTCACACCAATAATCCCAGCACCCTGTGAGGATGAAGCAGATCACAAATTCCTAGACCAAATTGCCCAGGCTAAAACAAATCCATACAAAAATAAATAAAAGAGCTAGAGATATAGCTCAGTGTGAACTGTACCAAGACATCCTACCCCCGGGGGGGGGGTTCAAAGTTACTAGGTGAATAATGATATGTTACTTAAATGACCTCTCTGAGTTTTACAGACCAGGCTCAGCAAAGTTGGGCAACAAGGTGATGATATAGCCAAGAGAGAACAGCATTTCTAGGGAGTTACTGAATGTCTTAGCCTAAATTCTGCCTTCACTTGATTTAAATCGATCACCATCTTGCCTGAGGTGGTGGTGCAGGCCTATAATTCCAGCACTTGGGAAGCAGATGCAGGAGGGTCACTGCAAATTTGAGACTAGCCTTGGCTCCGTAGTGAGCAGTTTAAGGCCAACCTGCATTATCTAGGGAGATCCGCTCTCAGGAACAACCACTCCATCATCATTTTGTCAGAAAAGCCTTCCTAACACCATCTAAATTAGAGTGGCCCTCATTTTTTATCCTTCTCTCTTTAGTTTTTTTCATAACATTCACTGACAGTTGATATGGTATATGTTTGCCTTTACTTTTTAATATCTTCTCCTCATATACCTAGCTGAGAATAGGTATTTTATATTTGTGTGTTCTCTATCCTCAGTTTAGGTGCTAAACAAGTAGGCATTGAATAACTAGATATATATTTATATGATGTTTTATATATATATAATGTATTTGGTGCAGGGTCTCACTATGCAGCTCAGACTCATAGTGATCCTCCTGTTTTCAGCCTCCCCAGCGCTAGGATTACAGGCATATGCCACCATGCCTGGTCTTGGTGGCCAGCTCAGTGTGTCCAGGGTGCGGGCCCGGCGCAGCAGCAGGAATCGAACTCCAGTCCCTATGCTTGCCCAAGCAGGCACTTAGTATAACTCAAGATGTACAAACATATAAGGAATTACAAGACTGGCTTACGCGGGTCAGCCGCAGCATCGGATGGAGAAGCGTGCGGAGGGCGCCTGCACCCTGGAGGCCGAGGGAGTCAGTCCAAGGTCTGGAGCTCGCTGCAGTGTCCTTGCAAGTCTGTGTCGGGCGGCCGATGGGTCTTGGACAGGAGGCTGAAGGACTTAAGGTGGAGGCCGAAGAGTCGGCCCTAGCAGCCAGGTGACGTCATTCAAGCTGAAGGCAGAGACTGGCGCTTGCTGAAGGATGGAAGCTGGACTGTCCTTCTTTTCCCTTTCTTACCATCCAGGCACAAGCCACCCTAGGGTGGGTCCTCTCCACCTAATCTTCTAAACTTCTCAAGTTAACACAATCAATCAACCACTACAATATAGTAAATGGGTAATTTTCTCAGCTGGTGCAGACCTGGGTACGGGGGCTAAACAGAGTGGCTCCCAGCCCAATCCGAGCACAGGCCATTTTAAGAATATAGGCAGTTCCAATTGGGTCCACGAATTCTTCTCAGCCTAAGGCCCTTTACCAAGCTGTGTTTACCCTGGATATTTTTATTTATGGAGGACCTACTGTCACATCAAACAAGTCAAAATACCCTCACAAGCCGGGTGTGGTGGTGCATGCCTATAATCCCAGCACTCCAGGGGCTGAGGCAGAGTTGTGAGTTTGAAACTAGCGTGGGCTACAAAGTGAGCTCAAGGCCAGCCTGAACTGCACAGTGAGACCCCATCTCAGAAAGAACTGTAACAAAAGAAATGCTATGAGACTTAAATGGCTTTGCTCGATGGTGAGGGTGACGATGGCTTAGAGGCACTGGGGATAAAATCTGCGTTTTCTGTTTGCTGAGACCAAGTACCCAACACCCAAACTTGAAGGAGGCAAAGTTTATTTTGTCTTACATTTGTAGAGGTTTCAGGCCAGAGTCAGTTGGCTCCAAGGCAGGGTGGAACGGCTGAGGGGCACAGCAGAGGAGAAAGAATTTATGGCAGGTGAAGCTGGAAAAGTAACAGCAGCAACCACACCCGCCCCTACACTTCATCCAGGACACCTGCCCTTTCTGTGATGTCACGCATGCCCAGGGTGGGGCACCCTTAATCCCAGCACCACACCCTTAATCCCACCATCGCATCATCTGCATCCAGCCACTTCTGAAAAGCCCCACATCTGACCCCTGTGGCTTCGGGAAACATCTCAATACAGGCTGTAATATTCTGTCCCCAGCACGCGAAAGACGCACAGCCCTAAAGGCATAAAGGCATTCAGTCCATCTCTAAGGCTTGCCAAAGCCCTGATAGCTTCCCCAGTGCTGAGGTCCGAGTCGAAAGCCTCCTCTGAGATGCAATGCAAACTCCTAGCTGCGAGCCCCGTACAAGTGAGTAGAAAATTATACACTCCCAATGTGTTGCCACTCCAAGTAGGGGGCTAGGCGATGCAGATTCAAGACTTTGCCACTAACAGCACTCATTTCTACTTTTTCTGCTTTTGTTTTAATCTTAGATTGCATATTGTAGTCACTGGTCCTGTCTCTTAAGACATCTTCTAAAATATTTTCTTAAAGTTCTTTCCTTTTTGACATTTTAGAAGAACACAGCATAATTCATTTGTATTTTATATCTCTCCGTTGCGGTTGCTTTGGTATTTCCCCAGAGCTGGAGGCAGGGTAGGCAGTGTGGGTAGAAAAACACCGGAACTGGTGTCCTTCTCAGGGCGCATGCCAGTAGGAAGCACCGGATAGTTACTCATTATTGTTTTAGGGGATTTGGGGGGTTATTGTTTGTTTG